TCGTGAGCCCCAAAACTAAAACTGACCCATCTATACATCAAAAGCAAGCGTTACAGAAAACAATGAAAGCTGCTACACTAGAGAATGAAGATTACTCTTTAGTAAGCGTAGGAGAGAAATGCTGCCCTGAGTTCTTTGCCTTTCAGAAGCAGCCAACTTATTTCCGACTCCATTCCCCTGCAAAGAAAATTTAAGGAGATATGCTTCTACGTTAGAATGAACCGTATCAATTTACTACTTTACTCTTTGCTCTTCCTATTCGAAGTTCTAACCCATGTGGCTTTTGATTTTGAACAATGAAGCAACCGTAATCTATTAAGCATCATATTTCTTGTGAAGAGCAAGATACTTGGGTGTAATACACTTCAGATCACAACGAAAATCCAATACAAAAGCATGCGAGAAGTAATAATGCAAAGAGAGAGAATTGTCAACTAACCCTTGGTTTGTCAAACTCATCAGCGTCCAAAATGCTGATTTCCCTCACTAGAATGGATGAAGCAGGCAAAAGCCTCCTGTTTGTGCAAATATAAAGTGAGGGTCAAGAGGGCAATTCCAAACACATTCATGACCAAATAATAACGTAAGGTAAGACATGTACTAGCGCCAGTGAGAAGCCACCCTACTTACCTTTTTGGTTTTTCCTTCCTTGAAGAGTTGCAGGAGGTATCAGGTCTGATTTCAGTCTCAGGCACATAAGTAAGGTCTTGCTGTTGAGTATGTTTAACTTCCTTAGGTGATACCAGCAAATCCAGTAAGTCCTAAATAGGGTAGGATATATTGTCATAGAAAAAAGAACTAATGGCCAACTTTGACATCAGAGAATGAACCTATAAAGTAAACATGGAACAGACCCCAACCTCATTTTTCTCACCAAGCTGCTGACCTGGTTCCACAGATACACTGCTGTCATTGCCTGAAGTGCTGACTGCCAATGTAAAAGCCTTAAATATATTAATCATATAGAATGGTGAAACAATAGAGTGAAAGATAAGGAAATAAAAGATCAACCAGAATTCAATCACAACATGGGCCAATCATAGTTTCAACCCAGGACAAATGGTAACAAGGGCCTTCCAAGATGTAAAATGTTTCACAATCGTAGTCCATAACATAAAAGTTGAGTTTCTAATTCAAACCTTTTACATCTGATTTAGGATCAAGATGCTCGACAACCACATAATTTGACTCACTTGAATCCTCATGAATATTTCTAGTCCCAGGAAAGCTCTCATGTACCTAATTGAGGAATCATTAATTAATTTGTCAAAGTCATTGTGAATAATTGGCATCCTGATCTCAGAAATTGGTGGTACCCATACCTGAAAACTCTGACAATTTTCGTTCAAAACACAAATGCTCGGAGAACTAACATCAGCTTCAGAACTTCTCACCTGACCATCCAGTAAAAAAAATCCATCCTACCAAAGACAAAAGAAATGAAAGGGAAAATTTTCTTTCCATCAAAGGCAATTTCTCCAAAAAACAGGTCCGAGTGTCATCCTTACCATGGCCTCAGGTTCTTGCTTATCATCAATGCATTCAAGCCCACTCAAGTTTGAAGTGGTTTTGTGACATGGTACCTTCATACAACCGATGGGATAAAGAACAAAAAGATGGTTAAAACCTTTTCAAGCAGATATGTAATGACAAGATATATGGAAAGAGCCACTCTGATCATACACCTTAATCCCTTGTGACAAGGTATTATCATTTTCACAAGAGGCAAGGACCAGACTGTCTGAGACATTGTATTTGAGAGAAAACCGACAAAGTTGACCTTCTGAGACAAAACTTTGGCGATGAAAGGGTTGCAAATATGATAACATCAGAGTTGGATTATAGAAAGCAATGCCTAGTGATCCATATACCTGAGAAGACATGTCCTGCCGCTGTATTCGAACAAGGTCGTCATTTTCTGGTGAGCAATTGCAGTTGGGAGAAAGAACTTTCACGTTCCTCTAAATGTGGAATAAAGGCGTAGGTATTATAAGTAAATAATCAACTCATACTCTTTTTATAGATGACAAACAGGAGTAGACTCACGAGAAACCAAAATGATATTAAATAAACAAAAAGAAAGCAGCAAAAGTACTTGGTCCTCTCCTGGAGTTGAGTCACATATTCTGGGACTGCTACTGCATTCAGATTTGAAGCGATTGGAAGAATTCAAAACCGGTTTTGTCTAAACATAAACAAAAGTTTTCGAATAAAATTACTCTCTTTGAGTTATGCAGGTATTACAAGTTAATGCAAGTATGAAAAAAGTTTTATAAAGATATTGTAAAACATTTTCAAACTTAGATAAGTACCTAGTTACGTACATACCTCATCAAAGCTGCAAGATGTGTGTCCTTCCAAATGTAACATGGACTCAAAATTTTCACCTACTTTAACAATGGTTGATGCCACAGAATTTTCCTTAGAGCAAGTACAGAAGGACCTCAAATTGTTGAGCTCTTTCTCCATCTCAATAGATCTTGTCTTCTCATTTCTAAGATTTTCTTTGAGGATCTGGATTTCACTTTCTGCCACCTGATTATGACCAGAGTCTATAATTTAGTTATCAATAAAATCATGTTGAAAAAGGAAATATTAACACATCAAGCTACCCAGAACTACCACCTTCAGTTTTTCATTATGTTGCTTCAAAACACTCCATAAAGCTTTGGCAAAATTTTGCATAATCTGATGATTTCTCTCCATCTTCATCAAGTCATCCGAATTCAAGTTTAGAGGTCTACTGTTTTTAAATTCTGCATTGCAGATTCTCAGATCCTCTGTGATGCAATAAGCAAACATGTAAAAAATTCTAAAAGGAGGCATCAGAAAGTAGATAAGGAGGAAAGTAATGCAAATAAAAGAAGAAACTTGTGCTATTCAAAAAAAAAAATAAAAGAAGAAACTTGTAGAACCATAGAATTTAGCAAGACATATTTAACAACCTTCATCATGAAGCTGGTTTTCATCTCCAGCAATCTTTCCTTCAATCTGAAAACAAACTTAAATATGATAAATGATAAAAGGCATGCTAATAACAGTTCATTACTGCTACAGTATAAACGACAACAGGATATGATTTACAGAATTTTTGAAAGGAAATGATGCAATGGACATGGAAACCTATTATGTGAAGTGAGTATGGACTATGGACAACCCAAACCACTTAAAAATCTATAGAATTTTTGAATAGTTAATAGAAAATGCTTTAGAAATGTCAAAGGAAAAAGAGTGGCATGACAGGATATGATTTACGGCTTTTGCATAAATACACAGCTGACTTTCTTAAAACTAAAGTTAGGAATGTAAAATTGTCCTACACGAATTCTTAATCATAGTGCACAGAGGGCCTTAAGAAGTTGCTAACACACCTTGATTTTCTTTCTGGATCACAAGTCAAGAGAGAGGGAGAGAGAGAGAGAGAGAGACTAATGCAAGAAGTACACCAGATAGGAAGAAACGGCACCCTTAAGGAGGAAAAAAAAGTACCAGAGAAGCATCACGGCTGCCAACTTTTATTCTTTTAGACTGCTCAGTTCTAGATGTTGTTTGGAATTGCCTCTTGTTGCAGAGAAAATTGGACTGTGCCTCAAGGTTAGTGAACCTAGAAGAAAGAGATGTAAATACTGCATCTTATAAGTTGTACAGGTTAAATTTCAAATGAAACTGAGGGAAAAGGAAAAAAAAAAAAACAGAAAGAAAGATTACTTGATTTTCATAAAAGGTGAAGCTTGTCTTAGCAAGTATGACGCATCAAGATAGTCTTCTTCTCCTGGTTTTACTGTTAAAATCTGCCAACAGAATAAAACTTTCAACAACAGTTATATAACAAATGAAAATAGAATAGGATAAAATGAAATTGAAAACTTTCTTAGAACTAATAACTAAGACTACAACGAAGCAAAGAAGCAAATGAAGTACTAGAAGAACAATTAGAATAGTTAATAATATGAGCAAAGCACCTATTGACATGAACGCAACATACCAATGTCATCCTCTTCTTGCCTTCCAAATAATCTCGCAGGTACCTAGTCAGCTGTGTGTAAATAAAGTCATACTAAGTGCTAACTATCACCACTAAACAGAGGCAAAAAAGGATCATGTCATCTATCAAACAGATGTTGGTTAAAAGGGAAAAGAAGACTGTATCAAATATTTGTAACACATGAATTCATCAAGGGAAGCATTACCAAAGAATTTTGAAAGTGCTTCTGCAGTGCCTTCTTGGGCTTCTTTTGGTGCTCCAACAAGGACTGAAAACAGAGGTAAAGAAAAGAAAAAGAATCACTCACACAAATGCTGAGAGAGCAAGATAGAGAGAAATGACTTGAAAGTAAGCTAAGAACAATTGAATGAACAACATAAACTGCACTAAACATCAAGCAGATATGTAATTGAGAAAATACTGATCGAAAAGAGACTTGAGAATGCCTTGAAGATCCAGGAAACAAGTTGAAGGCACTTACTCTTAGGCATAAACCAAAAACCATCGATGTGTTATTGATAAAATTGCTCTCGGCCAATCTTGTTCCCTGCAATAAAATATTTGTTTCAAAAAGCTTACAAGAAACTTTCATTAACATTGACCTTTTGTATCACTAAATTAACTCCCTCAAAATAGTGAAGTATCTGATATCAATCCAACCGGTCATGATTGAAATTTGTACCTTTGAACTGCATGCAAAAATTAAAATGTACACACAAATGCTTTTGAACTGGTGCTGATAGTGTGCCTACATGTTACTATATCACACATAGCTCATTCTTTAAAGAAGTTTCTAGCTGAAAAGGTTGTTACATTACAACCAAACCTTAAAGCGGACAAAAAGGAATACCTGATTCCCAGTCCGTTTTTCTCTTTCAGCTCCAGCAAGGTCAACAATAGATAAAACAGCAGAATTTGATTGCTCATCAGTTTCTGCATCAGAACTATCAGTACCTCTGCGAATGTTGATGATGCACTGTGAACGGCTGCAAGTATGCCAGCCAATAATCATATCAGTAAACGTTGCATTTCAATCAATTCAAATTACGTAATGTTAAGTAATCATATAGTAAAAATGACAGTGTACTTAGTCATTCACCTTGACTGGCTGTTGGCATTTGTCATAGCTGTCGAACGTTTCAGAAGAGCACGAGCTATCAACTGCTCTGCCCCCGCAACATCATGAACAGGAACCTGTTTGCATGATTAAGGAAACGCCACATCCATTAATTAATTTCCATCATGAATAATATTGAATATATATTTTTAAAACAAAAAAAAAAACGACCTCTTGAAGCCCTTTAATGGCTGATTGCTGCATAGATAAATCCTGTCCATCCGAGGTTAAATCAGATATCCTCTCAGCTTTGCCTCGCTCAGCACATATTTCAAAAATTGATAAGTAAAATCGCCTGCAAAGACATTATACCAGCAAGAAGTGGTTAACACAATGTAAAATGTTTCATTAATTGATAAACATTTGCATTTTTAAGTTGGGAGGTCCTGAATCACCGTGAGGACTGAGAGCTACACGCTGGAGCTGGCTTGAAAATCCTTTGGAGAGCTAGAGGAACCATGCCAGGCTCCCTAGGACTCCCAAAAACTGTATGAGTCTTGCCGGAGCCGGTTGGCCCCAATGCCGCCAACATTCCGCTTTTACCCCTGAGGAAATCCTCAACCAACGGGTTCACCATCTTCTCGTACACTTCACTCTACAAAAAGTTTCCGAAACCAAATGCATGAGAATAGTAGAAAAAATAGAAAGTAATCATATCAAAATAAAAGAATTCTAGAAAGAAAAACATATACCTGAGTCGAGTCAGCCGAGAACACGTGTGAAAAACCTTCGTAAATCTCCGATTTGATCCGTTTGGATTCTTGTAGCGGCAAAGGAGGAGATAAAGTAACCGAGTGACAATCCTCGCTCACCGTTATACAACTCTCGTTACTTTTCTTCTTTGAATTTTTCTTCTCTTTTACGCTGTTCTTTTTCGATGGATTTTGAGGCCAAACGTTTTTCGTCCTCGAGCTTGGATTTTGATCTCCTGCATTTTTGGTTGAGCCTTTAAGAGGCACGAGAGGACAAATTCTCAAATAGACTTTGAGGTTTTCGGCGATTGTATCTTGTGACGATGACGGTGAGGCGGCCGTAACGGTGACGGTGGAGGGAACATTTTGGGGGATTTCTTCAGAGAGAATGTCTTGAATCGGAAAAGAAGAAATTGGAGGTAATTTAGAGGATGAAGTGGAGTGGGAAGGAAGTTGAGGGGGATTGGTTAAAGGAGTAGCCCTAGCCTTCCGGTAAGGATTTCGCCGGACGGTGACGCTGGATGGACATGGTGGAGGACTCTTCGACTCCATTGCTTCTCTCCTTTTCCTTCCCGCTGTCACTCCGTTTCGAAACAAAAATGGCGGAAATTGTGCTTTTGAATTTAGGAAAGTCAAATGCACAAACGTGCTAGGGGTAAGTATTAATTACTTGGTAATTATCGAAAATAACAAAATAAAATAATATTATTAAATCGAAATTTCTCCTTTCCCATACTTCCATTCATTTCCATTATAGAATGATTATTGTAATTTTAAATATATTTAAACTATTATTATTAGTTACTACTTAAAATATATTAATATATATTTCTATATTAAAATTTGTTTTGTGTATATTTCTATATAATTTATTATTTAAACTTTAATTTTTGTTGATTTTTATAGTTATTTCACCTTTTGAAAATATTTAATTAGTTCACATTTGTGTATAATATCTTTGTGGTGAAGGTATTTTGGTGAATATATGGGTTTTTAATGTTTTGTTTTTGATGAAACAAAAAAAATATAGGTGAATTTTGATTCAAAAGTAAAATTAATTAGATCCAATTAATTGGAGTTGTTCAATTATGGTTTCTTTTCTCTTATTACAATATTTTTGATTAATTTTTATATAATATCTAAAAGATTTTTTAAATTATTTTAAAAAATTAAATAAATTTATATTATTTTATTATATTTAATGTAATCATCATATTTTTATTTTAAATTATATAAATTTTTATAATTAATAATTAATTAATTATTATTAATTAAAATTTATATATTATTTTATATCATATGATATTAACATAATATATTTATATATTACATGATAACATTGTCAAAAAAGATTTTTAGTTTTTACATCAAAGTTATATAAAATAAAAATCATAAATATCATTTTAATTAATAATAGTTAATCAATTGTTAATTATAAAAAATTATTTAATAAAAAATAAAATTTTAATTAATAAAAGAAAAATAAAAAATTTAAATAATTCCTAGATTTTTTAGAATATGATAACTTAATTTTTTTTAGTGTAAATCAATTTTTTCGGCTATTATATTTTACAATTGAACCGATTAAACGAATCGTACTGACTGCTTACTTTTGATTTTGACAGTCAAATTATGAAATGGGTCAAGGGCCTATAGTATGATGGGATGTTTTTTGGTCTTTGTTTCTAATGGGTTTAGAGCCCAATATCCAACTCCAGATCTAAAGCGGAGGCTGCACAAGGCCCATCATGCTTTTTCTTATTTTCATGGAGCTCATCCTCCAGTAGAACTAATATTTAAGAGCATAAATTAGATTATTATTTAATAGTATTCTATCTAAAATGTTATATGCAATTGAGAAATAAATATACTAGTTTACCTCTTAACAAAAAATAAGAAAAATGGTTATTCACATCATAAAAAGGAAATAATTGGTATTGTTTTAGAGTCTTTTGGTGCTAGGAGTCTTAGGAGTAAATGGTAGAATCCATCTAAATATATGTTAGATTCATTTCAAATTGAATGTCTAGTGCATAAACT